GCAGGTCGAGGCTGCGGTGGCTGGGAGCGTGCCACTGCACTCCAGCCTGGGCGACAGTGAGACTCCAACTCAAAACAACAACAACAACAAAGGAATGATGTTCTGACACACGCTACAACATGAATGAACTTCAAAAACATTGCACTAAGTGAAAGAAGCCAACCATAAAAAGCCACTTATTAACCGTGCTCGGTGGCTCAGCCTGTAATCCCGCGCTTTGGGAGGCAAGGTGAGTGGGTTGCCTGAGCCCGCGGGTTCAGAGACCCGCCTAGGCAACTTGGCGAGACCTCATCTTTACAATAAATCAAAAATTAGCCGGGCGTGGTGGCGCACGCTACATGGAAGGCTGAGAGGGAAGATCACCTGAGCCCAGCAGGTCGAGGCTGCGGTGGCCATGAGAGTGCCACTGCCCTCCAGCCTGGGCGACAGAGTGGAATTCCAACTAAAAAAAAAAAAAAAGTTTAGGAATTAGTGATGACGGTCATCCAACTCGTGAACATACCAGAAATCACTGGATTGTACATCTTAAACGATTGCAATGACAAATTTTACGTCATGTGAATTTTATGTCAATAAACGATTTTAAAAAATTTTGTAGTCCCAGCTTCTCCGGAGGCTGCGGCAGGAGGATCGCCTGAGCCCGGGAGGTGAGGCTGCAGTGAGCTCTGTACTCCCGGGCGACTGAGTAAAAAAGGCTTTTATTTGAAAAAAGAAAAAGCCCCCACTGAGCCACCGGGTTCCGAGGGTGCTCCGCGGAGGCCGCTGGCAGGGGTCGAGAGACCGCGTGGGGCCCGAGGCGCAGGCCGGCGGGGGAGGCGGGGCGGGCAGGGGCCAACCTGGCCTCCCCTGAACTCCGGCTGTGTCCGCCAGCAGGGGGCGCCGTCGAGAGCGGCGCCCGCCCGCGGGCCGTGTGGCAGTTCCGCAGCATGATCAAGTGCACGATCCCGGAGAGCGACCCCTTGAAGGACTACAACAACTACGGCTGCTACTGCGGCCTGGGTGGCTCAGGCACCCCCGTGGATGAACTGGACAAGTGAGTGGTCGGTCGCCTGGCGGAGCGGGGCGCGGCCGCCGGGGAGGGGGCGGGGCGTCTGCGAAGGCCGCGGTCTCCCCTCTTGAGGCGGAAAGAGGCAGGTTCTCGGCCGGGCGCGGGGCCTCGCGCCCCGTAATCCCCGCACTCTGGGAGGCCGAGGCGAGGGGGCATAGCTTGAGCCCAGGAGTTCCAGACCCGCCTGAGCAACACGGTGAGGTCTCGTCTCTACAGAAAAAAATGTGAAATGAGCGTGGCGTGGTGGCGCGCGCCTGGAGTCCCAGCTCACCCCGGAGGCCGAGGCAGCTGTGAATCGCGATTGTGTCGCCACACTCCAGCCTGGGCGACCGAGCGAGACTCCGACTCAAAAAATATGAAATGAGATAAAATGTGATACAATAATAAAATAAGCTGGGCCCGAGGACTTACACCTGTTAGCTCTTTGAGAGGCGGAGGCGAGAGGACTGACCGAGCCCACGGGTTCGAGAGCAGTCTGGGCCACATGGCGAGACCTTGTCCCTACAATCAGTCAATAAATTTAGCTAGGCGTGGTGGCACACGTCTGTGGTTTCACCTATTGGAAAGCTGAAAGGGAAGGATCACCTGAGCCCAGCAGGTCGAGGCTGTGGTGGTCGTGAGTGTACCACTGCCCTCCAACCTGGGCGACAGAGTGAGACTCCGACTCGGATGAATGAATGAATGAATGAATGAATGAATGAATGAATGAATGAAAATAATTGTGTTCCCAGAGAACCTTAGATCCCAAAATCCCCGTGGGATGGAAGGTAGAATGTGCGAGAGGAAAAATGGTGGGCAATGCTGCCCTCTAGAGGTAGACTATGGCAACACACATCTCAGTAACGATTTTTTTTTTTTGAGTTGGTGTCTCACTCACTCCGTCGCCCAGGCTGGAGCGCAGTGGCACTCTCACGGCCACCGAGCCTCGAGCCACGAATCCGCAAGCTCAGGCAATTCACACTCACCTCGGCCTCTCAAAGCGCTGGGATTACAGGCTGAGCTACCGAGCCCTGCCCTCAGTAACAATTTAAGGATCGTCTTCTAGAGGCAGTTAACGGTGTCACTGCGCCTCTGCATTTTCAGAATATTGTATAGGATTTTTTGAGTCAAGGTCTCACTCTGTCGCCCAGACTTGAGTGCAGTGTCATGAGCACGGCTCACTGCAGCCTCCAACTGCTGGACTGAGGGGTCCTTCCACCTCAGCTTCCCCAGTACCTAGGATTACAGATACACGCCACCATACCAGGGTAATTTTTTTTTTATTTTTTGAGCCAGACTTGGTGGCTCAGCCTGTAATCCCGCGCCTTTGGGAGGCTGAGGTGAGTGGATTGCCTGAGCCCGCGGGTTCGAGACCCGCCTGGGCAATTTGGCGAGACCTCATCTCTACAATAAAATCAAAATGAGCCGGGTGTGGTAGCGCGCGCCTGTAGTTCCAGCTACTTGGAAGGCTGAGGCGAAAGGATCGCTGGAGCCCAGTAGGTCGAGGCTGCGGTGGT